GGATCTCGGTCTGGTCTTCGTTGGGTTCTTGGGGGCTTGTGTTCGGACTTGCACTGCGGGAACTCGGAGGGGAGCGCTGCATGGGCATGCGGTTACCCCGCACCTCCACCAAAATGTCACGCGTGGTGGCCAAAAAAACAATAAATGAACAGGAAGAAATAAACGTTTATTGTGGCGAACTTGTGCCAAAAATAAATGGGTACAAAAGATCATACCAGAGCATCGCGGGCGTCGAAGTCGGCGTAGCAGCAGAGTCGAACGCTGGGGCGAAACTGACTGCGGCTTGCCACGCGGAGCCCTTTTTGTACACGCGTGGACTTCTCGAACAATCGACCGTGGAAGGTTGGCGCATTGAACCATACTGACCTCAAACATTCAACAGAGTTCTCGAATTTCCGAGAAGAGTAAATTGGAACAATAAATAAAAAGCATGTCGCGACCAGGAGTTGAACGCTGGCCTTCCGCGTAGAAGGCAAGCGCGATAACCGTTAAATCACGGGCGCACCGCCTACTTGGTCAGCTGCGCTCGCGGCAATGGGTCAACCTTGGTTTCAGGTGATCTGAATGGACCCGACGGGTTTTGTTATCTTCATCTGAAACTTCATAATGACGTTGCCCATTTTTTGTGACATCTTTTATCCAGTGTTGTTTGTGGAGAGGATGTTTTACGCACGCTTTCTGCTTCTTGTGAGCGTAACAGTTCCCTCGTCTTTGTCATTTTGGCCTGAGTCCGCACTTTGGAAATCTTCAATAAGTCGAAGAACCGTCCGGTAGGGCCGGCTCGTGAGCAGGTGATAGGGGGTTCTCCCATTGAGGTGTGGTAAGTGATCCTGTACTTGGGCAAGAAGTCTCGGATGGCTGCCTTCCTCTCTCTTCTGAAGAAACGTCGAAGAGCAGTCCTCAATGCCTTCGCAAAAGTATCCGCTTGTCCATTGAACTTGGGGTATACGGCGGAGTAAACAGATGAGAAACACTGCCGCTGTCCACGAATTCTTTAAATACCGAGCTGATGAACTGTCGCCCATCATCGGCGACAAGTTGTTGTGGCAGGCCTTGACGAGAGAACATTCCCGGCAAAGCAACGATGGTATCTGCCACTGTTATGGATTTCATCGGCATAACCTCGGGCCATTTGCTAAACAGCATCTATGACAATAAGATAGCTCTGCTGATCTATCTGCGCAAAGTCAGCATGAAGTTTCTGCCACGGGATTTCAGGAGCTTCCCAGCAGTGAAGAGAAACGCGTGGTTTGTTATCCCAAACACTGCTGCAGGGCTCGCATTGCTGCGTCGTGTGCTCAATGCCTCTGTCGATGTGTGGCCAACAGGCGTACGACCCTAACCACATCTTTATTTTTGTTTGCCTCACGTGTCCTTCATAAGTAAGGTGTATTACTTGGTGCTGGAATTTGCGTTGAACTACGGTTCGCGAATTCCATAGGATGCAACCGTTGAGGATGGATAATTCCGATTTCTGTATATGGAATGTCGTGAGGTCAGAGTCCGTCACCTTTTCTGGCCAGCCCTCACTGATGCACGGTTGTAGTCGGGAGAGGACAGGATCTGACGCAGTTTCCGTGGCGACGTCTTTTGCCTTCACTGGTAGCGTAGAGAAACTCTGGGTGTCAAGCGCAAAGAGATGTTGGGTATCACAGGAGATGGTGAAAACTCCGCTTGCCATTTCTTTGTCGAATTCCTCGTCGGGACCTTGTGCGAAACGCGAAAACCCATCAGCGTTTCCGAACTTTGCCATTGGCACGTACTCAATGGTGTAGCTGTAGTTAATTAGAATGAGGGCCCAACGCTGGAGTCTGTTCGCCGATGTCACGGGTATTCTTTTGATGGGGCCAAGGTGGTCTTCAGAGGTTTGGGGTCAGTATAAAGCAAAAATTTGCGTCTTCAAAAGTTCTTGTAAAACTTACAGACTCCAAAAATGATGGCAAGTACTTTCTTCTCCATTAGTGCATAAGCACAAACTGATGAATTCAGTGTCTTTGAAGCATGTGCAATGGAATGTTCCTTGCCACTGATCTCGTGGTATATCACCGCGCCCATGCCTTTGGACGATGCATCCGCCGCAAGGTAAATTGACAGATTAGGGTTGAAGTGAACTAAGGCCTCCGTAGCCGTCAGTTGTTCTTTGATGTTTTCAAACACATCTACGCACTCGGAGCTCCATCGCAAGGTGGTGTCTTTACTCAATAACTTGTTCAGTGACGCACATTCGTCAGCAAGGTTTGGAAGGAACTTGCTGTAATGCTGCACCATGCCGAGGAGAGATTTTATATGGCTGATGTTCTTGGGCTCTGGTATATTAAGGATATCCGAGATCTTTTCATGGAAGGCGTGAAGCTGTCGGTGGAAACGACTTGCCCGAGGTGCCCGACCTTTTCTTGAAGAGAAGCGCATTTTCGCCTTTTGAGCGTGAAGTCGTATACCTATAGCCGCTGGAGCACTTGTTGAAGATTCCGGAGGTTTTCAGGAGTATCTCCCCCAGTGGCGCTGATATTATTGAGGTAACCAGATAATTGCATGGCCGTCGAGCCATGTATTTACCTGGTCCACCGTGCGCTGGAACACTGCTGGGCGGAGGCGGCTCCAAAGGGCATCTGGTTCAATTGGAATAGACCTTTGTGCGTGTTTACCACGAGAGCCATTCTTGCCTCTTCATCGAGTTCCAGCTGGAGATACGCTTCTCAGAAGTCCAGCTTCGTGAATTTGTTGAATTCATTTAGTTTAGTGGAAAGTTATTCTGAACGTGGCAGTGGGTACTGGGTTATGTCGAGCTGAGGGTTCATGACGACAGTGAAGTCACCACAGACTCGAATTGATCCATCCGACTTTGGGACGACCGCAATCGGAGTTGCCCACTGCGAGAAGTCCATAGGTATGAGAACGTTGTTCTTGACTTACGTGGCTAAGTCTTTCTCTACTGCCATTCGCGTAGCAAACGGTATTGGACGGGGCTTGAAGAAATTTGGTGTTAGGCTTGAACTGTAGTTGTGCGTGCACAAGTGGGTGCAAGTGGGAAATTGTGCCCACACGTGCCCATTCGCAGCGCGAAGCGGGTTCGTTTCGGCCGGCACTCCACGAGTTGTTGCAATCTCCGATTCCGTTGCACCGCCGGCACCCCACGCGTGTATGCGCTTTCTGCACCGAGAAAATCGAGCGTGCGCTGAAAAGGAATCCTGTCATGCCCCGTTCTGGCGAGGAGCGGGAGCAGATGACAAATGATCGTCTGCTACGATGTCTCTTTCGTACAGCGGAACCGAAAAGATAAAGAGTTTATTTTCTGATAGAAATCGTATCCCGCGGGCAACGGAATCAAACGAGAGCTTGAATGTTGAGCGTCTGCTATTTTATGAAGAAAGCAATTGACAACCCGTGCTTTATTTGAAAGTTTCTAGTCGCTTTGTTGCCATAGAGGCGCTGAAATATACCAGTGTGTAAAGAAATGCCCAGAACAAACACATCAGCTGCCCCCGATATCTTTATCACCATCCGTGTGCGGGTGAAAAATGGAACATTTTTCGTCAATGATCCACCAGCAGAAACCTGTGAGGGTTCAATAAGCTTCCGACAAAGCTAAACCTAGTGACTTTAACTGAGGCTTAGGCAACATCACCATGTTAAGCATTTACCTACGTCAGCTATCTTTCCCCGTCGTTTTTTGTTTGAGGAAGCTCCGGTTCTCGACGCCGACACCATGGCTGAAATTTGATCTACCTGCAACTACGATCGAAATCGAGAGTCCCACGAAACGTTTTGCTGGACATCCCAACAGTCTTTTCAGTGGTTTATGGGTAATAACATGCTCAAAAGGATCAATCTAATGCGCGGACAGCATCATCAGTTTTCTCCAGTGTAAACACCAGCTGCATTGTAGTCAGTCGATTGCGAAAATTTACGCTATCTGTAAATATCTCTACGACAGCCGAGTTGCTTGAAGTCATCGCCAATAAAAACTACACGTTGCAGCGGCCAAAGTTTATAAAAAAACGTGCGTAGGGACTGCACTCTCGCATTCCCAGCCATCATGCCGAACAGAAATGCGCTTGTTTCGGTTTGAGGTCGGAACTCTTTCTACAACATAGATGGCGGCCGCTTCAGTCTTCTGCACTCGGTGCATTCCGCAAGTTTATTTGAGGACAGTTCTACGTGCGACACTCCGCCAGTGAGATGCACTCTGGGAGAGATCTCGAACGGTGCCAGTGCGTGTGAAACGAACTCGCTATAAGAATGCTTACATGCGGGAAGGCGAAAGCATAACACACGCACTGGGCACAGATTTAGTCAGCCGGAAGCGCGGAGCCGTCCTGGCGTCGGGGAAGCGCGCTCGTCTGACACCCCATAAGCCCGTTTTTGATTCCCACCCAGACCGAAATATACAAAATTTTCATTTCAAATCCGTTATTTTTCTTTGTTTTGACTATTTTTACTTTTTGCGCTGCGCCACCAGCAGTTAGGCTGACCCTTTAGCAACGATGATGCCGTTGATATGAAGCCACATGACGCGCCGCATCCAATAAGAATTTAGGTGCGGTTTCATTCAGGGCAATTTAGGTGTCGTTTATCGCTGCTTCAGACAACGATAAAGCCGGCTTCAATTCAAATAACGCCGGATCGCCTTATGAGCCATTTAATGCTTTCGCATTAAAAGAGCCATAATGTTCACCAAGCTGTTCATTAGGGCTAGTAAAGCAAAACGCACAATTTAACACTACGTTTCCGATACCGACAGATATTATAAAGATAGAGTTTGTTAGCGTTTCCTGAAACCCACATCTAAAGTCCTATAACCGTAGAAAATTTTATTCGTAGCATGATCCGAGACGGTAACTGTTTAGGCTCGTCAGTACCGAAAAAAACGAAGAACAATGGTCCGTTGTAAGTGTTAACTGCCTCGCGCAGGTATTATAAGAAATTAATTTAAGAGTTTAAAGTAGAGAGGACTTGATGAGCGTATTTACATTTTACTCAAAGACAAGCTCTTGACTTACCGACTATAGTGCCTGCCAGAGCCATGAACAGAACCCAGGATTTCATCTTGGGTAAAAGCTTTCGAATCCGCAAAGACGACTGACTATTGTTTCCCTCACACTTTATTGCCGACCTTTAGAGTGAACTGCCAAGCCTCAAATGGGTAAAATATTGTTTCAACAAAGAAGCAACATGTCGACTGCAGTAGAAAGAAAACAGAATATACGTACGTCATAAAAAAAGTGTTTGTCTTTTTTCTTGATAAATATTCCAGCTATTTAAAAATTGCCATAAGAGTAAACTGAATTAGTTATGCATTAATGAAAGTATATTTCTGTATTTATGTTTTTATTATTCGTAATTGTATCAAAATTTTGTTTCTAGCATTTAGGCAGTGTCGGACAGATTCGTTACGTTCATGGCAGCCGAAAGCCCTTCATTGCTGACTGCTGACAGCAATAGAGCTTCGACGGCTGAACAGAAAACGTTCTACACTGTACCATCCTGCAAAATAAATTAACTTTGCTTGAACTTTTAATTTGAAGCAGAGTTTGAGTCTGGTTGAAAATAATGTTTTTCAATTGTCAACTCCGCTTGTTTTATAAGTATAGCCTTATCCATGTGTGTGGTTTATAACGTCGGAAAAACTGAAGGTGCTTAGGACTGTGAAATACACTGATTTTGTTTTTCAATGCCTTCGCCACGCGCGTGCGGAGAAGTACTATTGTCTAGCAACTTGATGGTCTAAACCTCCTTCGTATTTCTAATAATTTTATTGAGAATTAAGGGTAATATAAAACTATATCGGGTTCAAATTTTACTAGCGGTGCTTTGCCAATTGAGATTATAATAATTACAAGCACACGAAGGCAGGGAACCAGATACGTAATTTTTGCTGCGAAATTGTGTAAACGACTACACGCGGGCTTTTTCCTTGCATATTTTTTTACAAAACCTTTTTCAGCCGTCATGTTTTCGTTGATCGACCAGTACCATCAATGTTCATAAAAGTCAATTACTTGGTTAGCAGTGTTCGTATTATGTGCGGTACACCAGACATTGTTAGAGTACGGCAATTGTTGTCGCCAGACCCATTCCCCACATATGTGTAGCGAACTATTTGCTGACGAACTGGTTACTATCGACCACAAGCTTAGTGGTAGCGCAATGCTGGGGTACAGTCTCTCAGTCGAATTCGACAGCCCTGGAACCACCAATCCGCATCAGGTCATTTTTGCAGCTCGGGAACTGACTACGACAGTACACACTTGAATATATTTGCGGTTGATATTCAAGAAAAAGCCGAATCGAGTTTTACTTATCTTAAGGGAGTATATGTAGGATTCTGTGCTTTCGAAGCTGATATTTCGTGATATTCGGAGGGTGTTTTATGAAGGTAATTCGTGTTCTGTAAAATAGTTGCAGTTTATTGGTTTTTATTTCTGTTAGATTTTCAATTCTCCTTCCCTCAAATTTTAATTTCGCTCCGTTCCTAGGTTTTGTAAAGTTCCGCCCTAAATTCACAAGAACCCTCTAGTATAAAATGGTATTGCTTCAGTCGAATTTGTCGTTAGCGTCTTTAAGACTGATAATATTATGCTGTCCTTCGACGAAACCTGCAAACCAGTGGTGCTTTAGTGAAGGTTGATACCTTAAAATCTACAAACTCACAAATAACGCTGTGAAACTAGTTCTTTTCTGACCTCAAGCCACCACTCCACTCCACGCTTTCACGAAAGTGCCGAAGCAAGGAACATAAATATTTCCAGCCGTCCTTAAACCCCTCCTAGAAAATCTAAGAGGGCTTCACTAAAAAGCAAAAATAGTATGGTTCTACTTCTAAACCCAAGGTCACGAACACTGAGTTTTATCGCAATTTAGAATTAGAACTACACATTGTCCTGGCCTAACCTCTACGAAATAAGAGGTGCACCCTTTTGTAAATTATCTGATATCCGAAAGAAAACTGAAGCACTGATTCTGTGCACTTAAAAAAGGTATTAGTAGAATACTGCTCTTTTTACTTCTTGATCTTGAAATTGGGAGTTTATGGGGTAAATCCCCACTGGCGATGAATTTACGGGCGAGCGTTTTTCGGAGTTCTTCAGATTTATCCGAAAACACGGAACTCTATGCTTAGGTAACAGTCCTGGCTGAGTAGGAAAAACCTGCAACAAAAGTGATATGTTTACCTAGGAGCGGGGAAATTAGAACTATGTTTTGTGTTTAGTTCTCAAAAATGGTACAGTGATTTTTCAAAGGCGTCAACAAATTATATTCCCCTTTAAACACAAAATGAACAATAAAACGCAGCAATTTGGCCGCCACAAGTGTCCGGAGTATCGCCTACGCAGGCTTCCAAGGCAAACTGACTATAAACCAAAAGATCAGTACAGTCGTAAAACACAAACGTACAATCTCAAAACCAGGGACGCGCGCTGTAAATTGCTTCGTTCCACCAAAATTGACGGCAAATTTTTTTTCCACCAAAAGCGAGGCCGCTGTAATGAAAATAAAATTCTTCTCAGGCATTTGAAAATTTAATGTAAAAGTATTTTATGGCTGATTCTATATAAATAAAATGATTTTATTAGGGACAGAATTATCTAAAAAACTCTGGAAAGTACACTAAGGCGATCTTTGCAGGTGAGCTATACGGCCAAGGGGACATAATACAAGGAGCTAAATATAACGAAAAGTCGGATAACTAATATTACTTATTCAATGTTTGAACTAGTAATGAAGAACATGATTTAAGTTAGAAACTTGCCCAGCATCATCGAGAACTACTAGATTTGTAAATTTTAGTACAACTTGATGCGCGTGAAAAACGCAGAGGTGCTATAAAATTACTACTCATGGAACAGGCGCAAGGCTGGTGGTGCGGAGACGCGGCAAATAATTTGATCACATTTTTTCCGCACCGCCAACTTTGTGGCTGTTGCTCGAGTGGTACCTAAAGCTTGCTAATTTTGTTGCCTTGAATGAAGTTCAACGCGTTTCCAATTCGAAACTCACGTTTATTTTCTGTAATAGTTAAATATTAATGAACAAATATTACATAATAATCCAACTTGTCATGTTAATTGACTCCTGTAATATGTCCCCCTGGCTGTAGAATGTAACTGCACATACCGAATTATTGAACCTTTCACGGCTTTTAAAAATAAAGCTGCCAGAATTAAAGTAGAGCATCCCGTACATTACGTGACAAGAAGAAGAACACAACAGCGAGATAGTTCGTCTGCTATTTGCGAACCTCGTGCTTTTGACGATATGCAACTCCATGCGACGTCACATTGTGACATGACGTCAGTGCGAAAAAGAATGATACGCATTTTATGTGATAGGCGGTTTCAGCGTCGCTTTTATTATAATTTGATTTTCTTCTTAAGAGCGTTTTTTTAAGACTTTGTCAAATAGAAGATTTGAACGCGATCTGATTTTTTTTGCACCGGGTGGTAAATGGTTGGGCTGATGCTAACCAACTTTTGAATTCTGTCGATTTTCATGTTCCTTGTCGCGTTACCAGAAATTTTACTGTCTTTTATACTAAATTCATGTCTAAACTCTCAACACTGTGCCGTATGCAAATTTCATTTAATACAATCGCATCGTCTAGCTTGGACATCTTCAGAGATGTCGTAGTTTTTCGCCGGAACTTGGGAAGTCTAGTTAAAAGTTGAAACTATTACATTTTGTGTGAAGTGTGCGACCTCTTTTTTGTCATACCAATTTGTACATTTTAAGCTGTGCGTGTGTTGTGTTTCTTCTTTTTGTTTTGTGTGCGCCAATGTGAAGACCCGCGCGGTTGTTTTGGGGCACATTAAATAGACAAATTATTATTATTATTATTATTATTATTATTATTATAGTCATGTAACATGACAGTGTTATGTGAATTTGTAGTGTTACACGACGTCCCAATTCATGCACTAAATTCGGTTAATTTTTTTTTTAATATCGGATGTATTATTAACCAACAAAGCTTTATACCAAAGCGGGTTTCAGCACGCTGGAAAACAGGCGCAGAAACAAACGGTTGAAAACGCTTTACATGGTTTTAGATGAAACACTTAAAATGAATAAACCAAAAAAAAAAAGTTTCAAAAATGCTTTTTTCCCCCGAATGATAAGGTATTGGGATGCGCTGCTAGAAAAAAAACAAACAACTTTCGTAGCCATCTGTAGATTGGAGACTAAAAGAAGTGTAAATATGTAAGAAATATATTGATGTTATTCCTATTATCACTGTTGTATGCCTGAGCAGTATTTTTGTGTCGTCTAGCTTTAAATGCTTTGGAATGATTAGAATGACTATATTCGTAGCGGCATGTGAATAACAATTTACGGTGTTCTTCGTGTGCGTGCCAGAATCTGAATGATGATGTTTCATTTTTTTTCCTAGATGCTCTCTCCTATCATGGTCCCCGCAGTGGCGCTGATAGTATTGTCAAATAAAATAACGGAATGGGTTTCCCCACAAAATTTAGTGCGCAAATAGTGACGCCACGTTACCATGTAATCTTAGCACTCTAGCCGGAATTTAAAGGTAGCCGGGGGGGGGGGGGGGGTGAAGAATTATTCTTATGTATTTGCGCAACAGATTATGGAGCACCTCGGCCGTCACTTCACTTAATTCGCGAGGCACTGCGAGGATCCGGATACTTAATGTTTGTTTTCTGGGAGCCAGAAAAAGGATTGCGATTGCACTGAGCCGCATAACGACTCTGAATTTTCGGGGAACTGCGTGTCGGAGCTTTCTCAGCATTTCACATATTGAAACAGACTAAACATGAAGATAGGCATGAGCTCCTTTTAGGCCTTAAAAATGCCTTGACACCCAGGCATACGTCAGGGGCGGATCCAAAACACCGTTTTTTTTCGTGTTTTTTTTTTTTGGGGGGGGGGGGAGATTTGTAAGGATACCATTCTCCCACTCTTTATTTTACACCGGGGGGGGGGGGGGGGTCCACCCCATGTCAAATTACCCTCCAAAAAGGAAGGAGGGGTGGGGGTCGACTTTTTTTAACGGGGCGGGGGGGAGGCGGCCGCTCCTGTTGCCC